TCAAGCAACAAAAGATAAGGAGTTTCAGCTCAAACAATAATTGCAAAGTGTTAGGCTAAGAACTAAGAATATTGATGAACACATTAAGGAAATCAAAGGCATATGTGATGGTCTTGCATTCATTCACAAACATTTGGATGAAGATAGCAAAGTAATCAATTTTGCTAGAGGTTCAGGTCTCAAGTACAAGACCTTTAGGACTGTCATGCTAGGTAAGCACACCATATCCCACCTTTAATTGATTTGTTAATATTCTCAAGGCTTTTGATACGAGAGAGGATGAGGAAGAGGTGCCATAACTTGGCATTCTCTGCTTAAAGGGGAAGGGGAAGAGGAAACAACTTCAACTCCCAGAGGAAGAAGAAACACTTCAACTTCAACAAATAATTCAGGTGTTCTATCTGAACTTAAACACTATAATGAATATGATAAAATCATTGTTGGGAATGGATCGCAGTTATCCATAATACGTGTTGAAAATATAACTAGATCAGCTCTGAAATTACAAGAGGTTCTTGGACTAAGATTACGAAGATTCTACTCTCATTTAGTAAACTTACAAAAGACAATTGTTACACTCTTGAATTTGATGAAACTAACTTTGTTGTAAAGAACAAGAAGACAAGGGCGCTACTGGCCAAGGGATCTAAGAGTAGTGGACTCTATGCTTTGAAAGATAACAATCTATATGCTCTAACTGCTACACAAGACTGGAAGACATCAAACAACATTTGACATACTAGATTGGGACATCCTAGTTTGAAGTTGTTAAAAGTTTTGAATAGTAATAGTTGCATTAATGTTAGTAGTTGGAATAAAATGTCTATTGTTTGTTCTAGTTGCCGGTTAGGAAAAAATTCCAAGCTTCCATTTGGCTTGAGGAATAAAATTTTAAAAGAAGCTTTATTAAAAATACATTGTGATTTGTGGGGACTTACTCCTGCTAAATCTTCTTAGCATATGAGATATAATGTAGTGTTTGTAGATGATCACACAAGATATACTTGGCTCCATCTACTAAAAAGGAAGTCTGAACATTTTAAAATATTTGTCAAATTTCAGAAAATGATGAATTTTTTTTTTTTTGTACAGATTAAGATATTCTAACGTGATGGAGGTGATGAATTCATTAAAACAAATTTCATTAAACATCTAAAAGTTTGTGGTATTGTAAGGAACATTCTTATTTTCTTAACAAATCTGAACAAAATGGAGTCTCAAAAAAAAAAAGCACAGGCATCTTGTTGAGACTAGCTTAACTCTTCTATTCCATGCTAATCTTCCATTGTTCCTATGGGTTGATGCTTTTCTCACTGCCATATTCCTCACTAATAGATTCTCCTCCTCATTCTTAAAGACGGTGACTCCATTTGTTAAGTTATATTGTGAGCAACCTGATTACAATAGCTTAAAGATGTTTGGTTGTAGGTGTTTCTCATATATCAAAAATAGCAACAAGTTCAGTCCAAAGACCTACTCTTGACACACAAATTCTTTCTTCTAATTCTTTTATCTATACTTTGTTATGATGAGTTTTCTTTTCTATAATCTTTGTTAGATTATGACTCCTAGTTTTGTCAAAACTAGAAGAGTTTGTTGAATCCTAAGGAGTACATCTATATATCAGGTGAAATATCCTTAAGGATAATGCTGACACGCCTCAAACTTTGGTTAATTCCTTACCTCTAATTACATTTAATGGTCAATTAATAATTATTCAAGGAATCATAAGTTTCATTGGATAAGGAATCAATTATCTGTTATACAAGGCTTATGAAAAGGATGGTCAACTTAGAATAATATAACTCATATGAATGGTATTAAGAGATCGAATGAATCTAGACAAACACATATATTCTTCTTATTGATTCATTTCATTTTCAAATGTAGAATTGGACGTAGGGCCACTGCCATGCTAATCAAAATTTGATCTCTACACACAAACGGTTGGCAATATGATTTTGTGCAGTATTATTGACTACTTGAACAGGTACTTGATAACAAATGACCAAGATAAAACCATTTTTGACAAGTGTCATTCCACTTGGTCTGGTTATAACAAGTGTCCCTCGTGATGAGAGTATAAATAGAAAGGCAGAAAAACAGACATCGACTTTACTTTTGTCAAATAATGACAGGTGTCTTATCATGACAATGACAACAAGTAGAAGTACTAATCCTAGAAAATAGATGTATTTTATCAACTTATCCTTAATAAATATCTTTAAAAAATAGTGTAACTCAATCTGTTGCATTTTCACATTTTTTAGAATTTTAAAATTCTAACTTTATATTATATATTTTTTATTGACAATTTACATTGTTTACTGTAAATTTTAGATTATGAATCGCCTACGTGGACTCAACCCGACCTGACCCAACCTGATAAAATTTCTGAAAATTAAAATAAATACAATTTTAAAAAGGGTGGGAACGGTTACAGGGCAACTACTGAACCACCACTTTCACTTCCTTTTTATAATTGTGTTTCACCCTTTTGCAAAAAGATATGAAACAGAAAAAGAAAACAAATTTCTTCTTCATATGAACATCAACAAACAAATTGACATTTATTTTGTGAATCAAAATCTGTGTTTTCTAGTGATTCAAAGAGTGATTTGGAGTAAAACTTTCTAGCTTACAAATTTTACTCTGCTGCAACAATAAGCTACAGTACCAATCTTACATTGTACCTTAGTAATTTCTTACATTTACATTTTTCTTCATAATGTATGTGTAATCTTACCCCTCCAAACCTCATTTATAGGATCACATTGAGTATGTCTTAATTATTAAATGTATATATATCAACTTAAAAAAAAGGTTTCTCTATGAAATTTAGCTTTAGGCTCTCAAACTTGTTGAGACGGCCTTGACTCGATAAGATCCTACAGACTGCTGAACATGTAGCCAATATGGTTGATGACAACTAGAGGTGGCAGAATGGGTAAGAAGAAAGATCTTTTTTTTTTGGGGAAGGGGCTGGAAGGAGGGGGTGGGGTGATAAAAAAACTTAAAACTAAATTTAAAATTTTTTATAGAAAAACATTTTTTTTTTACATTTTTGGATTGTGGGGGGAGGGGAGGGGGGTAGTAAAAAATAGACTTTTTTTAGGCATGAGGTAGGAGCGGGTTGGGGGCCGGGTTAGGGGTGGGGTAGGGGTGATAAATAAAAATTAATCTTTTTTAAAAAGTAATTTTATTTGTTGTGGTGGGAGGTGAGGAGTGAGGTAAAAACTTTTGCTTGTCGAAGTTTATAGCAGGATTTCTACTATAATATGAGTATTTATGTTTATTCACATAGTTAATTGGGTAACTCATTTTTATCCATTTAAAATATAAATCAAGTCAATTATTTATCCATTTTTATTTAAGTCATTTTCTATCGACTCATATTTAACTCAACTAGCTCATTTCCTACTCCTATCACACGCACATTGATTGGCAACCCGGTCCATTCACCGGGGTAGGGCTGGTCATTGATTCATTGCATATGCAGGGTAACACAGGGCATTGATAAGTTAAAGTAAATTTCACTTTGTATTTAACAATCTTAGAATATAAATTTCATTAAAAATATATGTACATGTCCCAATGCATGATTCCATTTGACTGAGATATCTTTCAATTTTGTGATCTAAAATTTTTCATGTTGAGATTAGAAAATTTACTTAATATAGAAAGAGATACTCTTATTGGGGACGAAAAAGAAAGTAATCCATTAAAATTGGGACAAAGGGAGCATTTAAAAGGATAGCTAACCTAAATCTCATTATTGTAGAAGTTAATTACTTGTATTCACACTAATTTATAATATTGTATTTTTTATCATATTTTGGCTCTCAGATACATGTATCTGTTATGTAAGGCATATACATATTAATAAGTGTCTCTAATTAAAGAGTATAACTAAAAGTTATTAATCTAATTGAGGGATACAACTAAAAGTCATTAATTAAGGAGAAAATCACGCTTGCGTCAACTTTAGAGGATATGACATATCACAACTTATAAAAAAAACAAAACAATTAAAATTCTTCTTTTCTTTTTTAATTGGCAATTCAGTAAAGTTTAGACTTCTTAAATCAGATTCATGAACTCTTATTTAGATACACATATATTTTGCCATATACATATACAGTTAATCAGATATATACACTGATAAAAACTAAGATACATATAATCTTAACTCAATAATGTGTTCGTTGTGCGTGTGTCCGACAGATCTCCACAGAGTCACCAATAACTTCACTTTTCATCACCATCGACTACTAAAGATTTGAAGAAGAAGGTCCTCAAGTCGCTTTTGAAGTTCAATTACACAGCCGAGCATGCCGAAGAGGCTGTTTGCAGGCAAAATCTGCAGTCAGAGATGAAATTTGAGTGTTGCATCAGTGCGTCCATGAATTTTATGTATGATACATCAATATCTGGTTAGGCTCACATTTGTCATGTCCTTCCTATCGACGCGTGAATTTGAGTAATTATTAAATAGATACAAATCTAAGCATGTAATACCCGTTTTTCATATATGGCTTTCATAAATTTAATGGTGAAAATCATGATGGAGAGAAGAAAGGAAGAGGGAGAACGGTGGTAGAGGGGGGAAAGTTGATTAACATGAAAGCCTTAATTTGGGGTGGTTTAATGTGTAAATAACTAATTTAGGCTATTATTTAAGGATATGTGTATCTAATGTCTCTTCTTCACTAATATATGATAGAAAACGCTTATTTAATGGTAAGATATATAATTGTTTAAAAGTATAACTACTATATAGTAGAATATGTCTAATTATATAGTTTTACCTATTTAAACGAAAAAACAGAAAAAGAAAAAAATAACAACTTTTGAATCCATTTTCCATTGTTCCTCATTTACCCTTCCAATAGGAACTTGGGAGATAATATAAAAACCAAAGTGGAATAAGAAGAATAAACTCACTCACAATTATTTTCCTCCCTTCCTCTTCTTAGGTGTTTCCAAATCCATATTTCATTATGCTATGCTCTTTTCCTCTCTTTGTCAAACCCTATTATAATAGGCCTATTTTCCACTCCATTGACCATGCTGGCCAAGAGAAGAAATCAAGAAACTTTATTTCAAGTAGTGGCTCTTCTAGCTATTATTTTAATAATAGGCCAAAACCAATTAGAACTAGTATTTCAACTAACCAAGAAAAGTTTCACAAGCATATTGACCAATATCCCAAAGACTTCAACTTTTATGGTGAGTATATATGTCCATATATAATCACATTTACTTTATACTATCAGGTCACTTTTTATTACATATTGGAGTAGGTAATAGGTAATCCACCTTATAATTCTATTGCTAAAAAAAATGTGAATTGCCAAAGGATGCGTCCCATCAGCAATTGGCTCGTAAAAAATTCATCGAATATTCATTCATTTAGTAATATTTTCAAAATTATAAATTTCACTTATTTTTTTGCTGATAAATTATGTAAATATATTCCGAATGATACAATTGTATTAGATTTTAAATGTGTACATTATTGATGTATATAAAGTTAGATTCATAATTCAAATTTTGTCCTATTCATTTTGTTGCTAGACTATAGTTCTAATCTTCAGAATTTGTTAATCAAAAACAAGAATAAAGTAGTGCTTAATTAAATTATGCTAGTAGCTTAGCTTTAAGGATTTATTTTTATTTTTGAATATATAAGCTTATAAATAGTCATGTATGCTTATTTTAAAAACATAGGTCCTCGACAGGCGAGACAAAAAGAAAAAATAAATGATAAAAAGATTTGGTCCCAGTTGGTCTCGTCTATGAATTTTTATTTCCCTATCCTATTTATCATCTTTTTATGGCAATATCAAGTTATATTTAGTAAAACAAAGTCTCTAACTCTATTTAAATTTTCAACAGATTCTTCTCTAGCAAAGGAAAAACCTAAACATGATGAAGATGGTTTTAAGAAGGCAAAGTCAAGAGGTTTGAAGATTTATAGAGAATTAAAGAAAGCTAAGCAACCTAATTCTCATGGAAGTAGACTATCAAGTTTCTTGAACTCACTTTTTACAAATGGAAAAAAAACAAAAAATTCCTCAAATGATAATGACAATAGAAAAATAAAATCAGCAAATGCATCAACTTGTTCTTCATTTTCTAGACTAAGTTTAAGCAAAAATATTATTAGTACTCCATGTGGACAAAATAATTATGACATGGACCAACAAAATGTGGAGGCTATAAATGGAATTAGTAGTAATTATGTTCATGAAGAATATGAAGATGATGATGATGAAGGTGCAAGTTATGCAAGTTCTGATTTGTTTGAGCTTGATATCTTTTCTTCCATGGGATTAATGGAATTACCTGTCTATGAAGCAACAAATCTAGGTACTAATTATCTTGCCATTGATGCAAATGGTAATTAATTTGCTTATGTAACTCTAAACAAATTTGTAAAATTGTATTATTATTATTGTTGTTGTTGGTATTTTTAGTTATTAATGAATGAGTATGCAAAAGTAAAAATTATCATATTCATATTGTATAAAATTGATTGTGTAGAATTCTAAGTTATTATGTTCATAACCTATGGGTTGTTTATTTACACACCATAATGTTGAATTTCCTAAACTTATATATTTTGATGTCTTTCTTTGTATGAGAGATAACATATAGAGATAAATTCTCCTTTATTAACTTCCTTTCTTGGTAAATTTTTGGGCAAATGTGTTTGTACAACTCTATGCTTCTAACCATGAGTGTGCATGTATTTGAAAGAGTTGTGGAACCTTAGGGGTAACTGATTTTAAGGATTTGTATCGAAATCAAATCAAATTATTTTCAAGACAGTGACTTGCTACGATGCATGTTTGTGATAATTTATTACTATTTTTAATTATTCATGGTCAATGTTAATATTGTACTTCCTCCGTCCTATTTCATGGGGCACCTTTTGACTTGAAATGGTGTTTAAGAAAAAAATAAAGGCTATTGAAACTTGTGGCCTAAAACAATCCTTAGATATTTGTATGGCTTAGAATCATTTCATTAAGGATAAAAAAGAATTTTAAAGTTAAATTGTTCCTAATTATAATAAGGTAACAATTTTTTTAGAAGAACTAAAAAGGAAAGTGTGCCACATAAAATGGGACAGAGAGATCGTACTATTTTTCCTAACAATTTGAAAAGCGATTTCATACATACAATATTGATCAATTGACAATTAATGGAATTCGATCATTCAAGTCAGATAGCATTTATTTTCGCTAGTATCCGACCAACATGAATTTCTTTTGTCTATTATGATATTTCTAGAAAACCAAAGAAATAAATAACGAGGAATAAAATACAAGTGTTGAGTACCAACTTCTACTCTTGTGAAAGGTGGATCTCATCTCTTCCTTTCTATTTAAATAGAAAGAGAAAGTCACTGTCCATATGACAGTATGAGTTGACGGTGCTCATCTCTTTTCGAGTTTATAATCGATGCTATTGAATCTGCAGTAAAAAAAAATATCATCGGTTCTTTGAAAAAGAGTTCCACCTAATTTATCAAAACTTGAAGCTTTGGATGAAAATATATTAACCATTGATCTTAAAAATTACTAATTTTCTTTGAACAATTAGAAGTTGATTATGTTTGCTTGATGAACCTATCTTCCTAACACTATTGTTGGTTCTAGCACTGTTATAGTTATTGATGATGATGCTAAAGAGAAGTTCAAACAAGATTTTTAAAAAAATTGTTAGAGGACATCAACAATAACCATATGACTATTGATGGGCAGTGGACTAAGAAAAAAAATATGGTTATTGGTTCAACAATTTAAATCGGTAATCATATTTGTTCTTCAATATTATTAACTTGTGCTTCCTCTTTCTTTTAACGCATATGACTTCAATATTAGGATTTGTCTTGAATTTTCTATCTTATTTGAATTCTACAACAATTGTGTATTTCAATTTACAATTTTTTTTATATAAAAGATTTTATTGGTGAAAAGAACACTTCTCTCTCTATATATATATATATATCTTTTTTCGAAGAAATTTTTCTAGACGTTTATAAATAAAAGATCTTATATTTTAATACAAGAATACAACAGTATTCACAATATTGTCGTTAGAGAATTTTGCTAAGAGAGATTATTCTTATTCTGCCGATAGATTTTATGCTTTTTCAACATAAGAATTTCCAATATATATGTTGAGAAGTTGCTCTCTTCTATGCATGCAGATGAGTGTTTCATTAATCTTGTGTACTTCTTTTTAGCTAAGTTCTTCACTTCCATGGAGGTTAAACAATATATGTTGGTCACTTTATCTAGCCATAACAAATATTATATTATTTTTAGTATAGTTTTTTTTTTTTCGTCTAATTTGTCATCATTAAGATTTGTATTTTTTATCTCTCACTTAACGTTTTATGATTTCAATCCTAACATTATAACCTAATATAAATTTTGTTGTTAGGAGTTTTTTTTTTTTAGAGTATAATCCAACCTCCCAAGGTAACTTCCTGAGGTAGTGAGGAATTCGGCATGTCCCCTATCATGTGCATTAATCAAGAAAGAAATTAATACAAATATGAAGGGGCACATCAAGGCAAAACCTTCAAGTTTTTAGTACTAACTAGGCCGAACACCAAAACATAGGCCTGGGACCTTAGGTTCTCATTTATTATACATATAACCTAGATTGAGTTGATTTACTCATAATCTCAATAATGAACATTAAGATATTCCATATCATTTGCTAAGATATTTAAGAGGTATTATGTATGATTGATAGTTATATTTTGATAAATCATGACTTGCGTGATTGTAAAGGCGTGGTCACCAAAGAAAACGTGGTTGGAGAGAAAAAACTAATCAGACAAATCAACAAAGCATATAACATGTAGCTTCTTGTCATAATCTAATTAATCTCTAATTAATCTAATTTTAAAGTACAAAAAGAAACAAAAACAAAGAGATGAAGCCATGACATGACCACACTAACGATAAGTTCAACTTCATGATTTGGTGCACAAATCATCCTACCAACCGACTATACTATTATTTGATTTATTTGACTGATAGTTTGTTTTTATTTGATTTCTTTCTTGCAAAAATTAGACCATACATCGTTTTGTTTGATTGATTGATACGTAAGTGTAATATTATTACCACTTTTTTCTCTCATTATTTCAAAAACTGACATGTTGCTCAAATGATTTCCACTATAATTCACTTGTTATATTTTACCAGACTGAAATTCTTTTTTTGCATTGCCACGTTGAATTTCCTAATTAATTAGTTGAAACTTGCAACATTTTCCATACCTAATATATTCCACCATCTATATATATATATATATATATATATATTTCTCTACATTTAGCTCTTAATATATATTTGAACACCTCAATCCGACCTTGTATTGTTTAAACAACTTTGTCAATTCGAATTTGGATCATTTAAACTTTTTCAATAATCAACTATAATTATAAAATGTGTATGATATACTCGCGGTAACATAGATAATTCAAGAAATAACAATATACATTTGACATTTTGAGTTAAATAACAATTAAAAAATTATGGATAAAAAAAAAAAAAAGGAAAAACTATTTTTAAGCCGACGTCCACCCACCGTCGACCCTGCAACTTCCTTTATTCAAAATGTGATCGTCCATCCACCGTTGCCACAGTCACCATCGTTTTTCTTAATCCAACGATTTTGTTATTTAGATTTTATATTTTGTTATTTATTTAAAAAGTTAAAAATAGCAAACTACATATCCAAGAAGTTAAATGATCAATACATGAACTCTATAAGAACCACTTCTAATTTTAGGTACCAATGAGCCATTGATTACATAATTATCATCACATGAAGAAAAAGGGCGGGGGGAGGTGAGTTATTATTGTTATTATTTGAATTTAGATATAATCTTTTTGCAAGTAGAAAGAGAGTGCGAGGAAAAAATAGAATAATGATAATATGAGTTTAATTTTGCATATTTTTTCGATGAATACGATGATAATGATTGTCAAATCAATTTAAAGAAATGGTAGACAAAATTGTAATAATGTTTTAGATGAAAACGATATATTATGGTGAGGGAGAGGGTGAGGTGACTAAAGAAAAGAAAGAAATGAGAAGGGTGGGTGGGGGTGATAGCGACAACACGAATGATGATGATGTTGGAAGAAGTTATGGCAACAAAAGAAAGAGATAAAAAAAAATATTTAAATTAAAAGTATCGTTCATATGTTAAATATACAATATTGTATTTTCTTTGTTATATTAGCAAAAGATATCTAATAAATATTCATTAAATATGTTAAATATACAATATTGTATTTTCTTTGTTATATTAGCAAAAGATATCTAATAAATATTCATTAAAAATAAGAATTAATTATAAGATGTCAAAATGGAATATAGAGATAGCTTTAAGAAGTTGTATATGACTTAAACCTTCAATTTATTGTTAAATTAAAATCTCTCTTTCTTAAATAAAACAACATTATGTCACTGTTGTGTCTTCTTTCCCCTTTAATTCATGTACCAATGAACCATTAACTACATAATCATCCAAGCAAAACATGGAGAAAAGAGGAAGGGAGGGAGATTGAGGTGATTCGTTTTTTTTTTTAAAAAATTAGATCCAATTATATGAGTTTAGATATAACTTTTTCAGGTAAAAAAGAGAGAGGGAGGGAAAAATGGAGTAATGATCAGAAGGGTGGATGGTGATAATAGAGACAACAGAAATGGTGATGGTGTTTGAAGAAGTTATGACTAAGAAACAAAGCGATAATAAAAAATTAGCTAAAAGTACTTCTCACACGTTGAAATATATATGTGTATTATATTGCATCTTCTCTTGTCATATTAATAAAAAGTGTCTAATAAATACTTATTTTGAAACGTGATAATTATAAATGATAATGTTTGATAGAAACAAATCTTAAATAAAATGTCAAAATGAAATATGAAGACAACGTTAAGAAATTGTGTATGACTTAAGCGAAAAATTTTATGGTGATTGAGGCACAACCAACCATAGTTGTATGAGGGCATCATTTCCTTTTGACAAGTATTTTCGTGGGGCCCTTTTCTTGTTGTCACACTCTCTCTCACACTTCAATTTTCTCAAATTTATTTTCTTTATATATGCCTTTGTTTTCTTTGCAAGACCCCTTTCTATTTTATCTTTGCATTCTTTTTTAATCAATGTTTCTATAGTTTTCTTTTAAGTCCTAACTCTTAGTGCAAAAATATATATTCATACTACTATTATCTTTGCTTTCACAAATTCATTTGATTGACCCTTTTTTTTCTATTAATTCCTGTAACACACAAAAAAAAAATCTATAAAAGTTTTGTTTCACATTTTAAGACACTAAACATAAAGAAAATTTAAAAAGAAAATCTT